TATATGATTAAGAAGCATTTGTGTTTGTTCTCCTTATAGGTTTTATTGTATATATGAATATACCAATGAATGCCTACATTTGCATATATATTGTTGTTGTTGTTAAGTGCTGTGGAGTCAATTTTGAACCATAGAGACCCTGTATAGGGTTTCCAAGAAGCAGCTGGTGAGATTGAACCACTGGCCTTGCAGTTCAAATGACTTTGCAGTCTGATGCATAAGCCCACAGCGCCACACCAGGACTCCTTACGTATATATGTACATCTACATATATTCCTGATGTGGCACTGTAGCATAAACACTCAATCATTAGATTGGTTTGAACTGCAAGGTCAATGGTTCAAACTCACCAGCTGCTCCTCAGAAACCCTATACAGGGTCACTTTGAGTTGGAACTTAACAACAACAACATATAGATATATTTAGATATGCCCATGGAAGAAAAGACTTCCCATAAAGATTTCAGCTGAGGAAATCCTATGGGGCAGTTCTACTCTGTCCTATAGGATTGTTATGAGTCAGAACTGATGTTATATATTGATGCTACTCAATGGCAAACAATAACAACAACATATGTGCCCACATATAAACACACGTATAAAAAGGAGCTTCAAAAAGATCATGAAAAAATTTAATTAAAAGATAATGACTTAAAGGAAGAAAGAATCAAAACTGACACATTAACACAACATCTCCAGCAACTAGAAAAAGAACAACAGTGGGAACCTACAGTCACCAAGAGAAAAGAAATAATAAAGATGAGAGCAGAAATAAATGAGATAGGAAACAGAAAAACTATAGAAAAAAATCAACAGGACAAGAAGCTGGCTCTTTGAAAGGATTAATAAAATTGGCAAACCATTGGCAAATCTAACAAAAAAAAAAACAAAAACAAAAGGAGGGAGAAGACACAAATAACACACATTAGAAACCACAGCTGTAGACAAGAAGACTAGCCTGGAATAGCTAGAACAACAGAAGATACATCGTCAAAGAAAGATCAGCAGGAAAAAGCCAAAACAAAAATGGCAGTCTGATTGGCTACTACAAGAACAAGCAAGTTGTTTTCTGGGGAGCCATCAAGGCAAGCAAGCAATCAAGTCCCTCCAGGACAAACTCCTCCTCTAAGACTGAAACTCAAACGGAACACATGAGCAGGCATGTAAGCTTGCTGGCAACCACGTTGGTCTGATAGTGTGTGGAAGAGGGAGGAAAGTCAGCAATGAAGATATGGGATGAATTAAATTACATTCCACAGATTCCTGTTGACCTGGAGATGGGACAGAGAAGAGGAAGGGTTGGTTGGTTCAAAGTGTGGTGAGACCTGGGGACTGCTGAACCCATTGATAAGGACATAACTATGGAGGGCTAGAGCTTCGAATGTAGCATCCAGCTGATATGAAGTGAGGGGAGACACACAAGAACACCTAAACCTGCAGATAGTACCCATTTGACCTAGCTCAATGGCTTGATAATCAGAACTCAACTAGAAGAAGTTTGTTTTTTTGTTTTGTTTTTTATGAAGGAAACGAGTGTAAATTGCTACAATTTGATGAACTTGACCTATACTTATGGGTGTAGTAACTCACAATACCAACTGAGAGGGAAAGAGTCTTCACATCAAGGATCAATCCTATTCCCTCTGTATACAGAGTAGATAGGGAGGGGCAACTTAGACATTGACTACCTAAAATGGGGCGGGGGGCAATAAAGGCACAAAGTGACTGACTTACAAATTTTCAAGAAGGAGTTTAAGAGTATGTGGGGGAAGGTAGAGTACCCACTGAATAGTTTTCAACTTGTCTAGATGGGTCTGGTGAAAAGAGAAAAGGGGATAAGATTCTTATGATTCACTAGTGAGGAATTGTTATCAGGACTGTGATTGTCACAACTGCAAAGGAAGAAGTTTTGTAACAAAAGCGGGGGAGTATTTAATCTTACAGTCCATGAACAGAGGACCTTAGGACCATCAAAGGGAGAAGAGTACAAGTGGAATGTGAGACCCTATCCAGAGAAGCAGCGACACGAGAGATGGAGGAAGAGATAAGGACATGGAGAGAGGGAGCAGCTAAGGACTCTGGACTCAAGGAAAGAGAGGGACTGGATGCTTGCGGCCAAAAGGCAGCGTTGTAGAATGTGCCCTTTGGTTGTTTAAATTATTATATATTCCTGAGTTTTTTTTGTGTGTACATCCCCTCCACCCCACCCTACCCCCTCAAAAAAAACAGACAAAATGGAAGCAAATACTGTTGAATTATGATACACAGAGGAGATTGTGATCATTGCAATGAAACAATTATGTAAAGCTGATGTTCTCTCATGTAAACTATCACTCAAGTTCACAACAATAAAAAAAAGATAATGGAATTTTTCCAGGCCCCCCTCCCCCTTTTTTTTCAACTTTTTATTGTGAATTGGGTGAAAATTTATGTAGCCGATCAGTTTTAAACTCAGTGATTCATACACATTTTGTATTTGACTGCAATCCCTATAAAGTACCATAATTTTCTCCTCTTCCTCATCCTTCTGAATTGTGTCCTTGGATGAATGCTGTCATTTTGTCCTCAAATAGTTGATTAATTTAAGGTGTGCTTTAGGTCCCCCTTTATCCAAACCCGTTGTTTGGATAAAAATTGAGCCATGAGGACAAGTTCATTCCCAGAACTGAGAAATGACTAAGAGTCATTGTCTCTGGAGTTCCATGAGTCTCTATCTGACCAATAAAACTGGTCTTTTTTTAAATTTTGAATTCCGTTCCCCATTTTCTCCCACTTTATCCAGGATCATCTAATGTGGTCCTTTTCAGAGAAATCGGTAGTGGCAGTAAGGTATGACATAGTTCTTCTGGTGTCAGGGTTGTGGAGACTGATGTTTGTATGATCCATTAGACCATTGGACTTAATGTTTTCATGTATTTTTTACTTTTATTAGTCTTCTTTCGTCTGAACGGGGAGAGACCAATAATTGCATCTTAGATGGCTGATCATGAGCTTTGAAAACCTCGGTTCTAATCATCAAGTAGAATGTAGAACATTGTCTTTGTTATGCCAGCTCACCTAGGTATCCCCTGAAGACCATAATTCTGAGCCCTCAGACACAGGGTTTCATTACCTCAAGGTGTTTAGTTATGTCTAAGAATTTTTCAGAACTTTTCTTCCATATACTCCCACCACATGGATATATTTGAAACAAGGGTAAATATCCATGTATAAATATCCTCTGTCAAACCTATATGTATTTGTGGGTATACTCCCACTCTTCCTCCAACACCTGCTCAGCTTGTGTGTCTATCCATACATCTACTTGTAGATCTCTATTTTTGCAGGGTTATATAACAGTAAGGAGCTCTGGTAGTGTAGTGGTTACAAATCGGGCTGCAAACCTTAAGGTCAGCAGTTCGAAACTACCAGCCGCTCTGTGGGAGAAAGATGAGACTTTCTGCTCCCATAAAGATTTACAGCCTCAGAAACCCTGTACAGGGTTGCTATGGGTCAGAACCAACTTGATGGCACTTAACAACAACAACAAAATATATAATAATATTTACCTCTGTTGCCTTTAACTCTTGTACTCTTCCCAGTGTTTTCCTTTTAGTATTTTTTTTTTCTTTTAGTATTTTTGTGTTGTTCAATATTTTGCCCATTGAATCATGCAATATTTCAACTTGAGACTGATTTTTTCCCCCACCAGTTCTTTCAGCTTGAGAAATGCGTTTTGGTTTTCTAACTCCAGATCTTTGTATATTTCATTTTACGTTATGACTTGACTTTATCTTATGTTGCCCTTTGAAACCTTCTGTTCAGGTTTCTTGTTGCTGTTGTTTTTATTTATTTTGCTAATTTCTTTCTATTGCTTAAGCTATTCTACATTTAAAAGCAAGTTTCAGAGTCTCCACTGACATCCATTTGACCTTTCCCCCCCCTATCTTTTAAATTTATCTTTTGGTTTCTTTGGGTAATTATTAGAAATGAAGAGTCCTAGACTCCATCCCAGACATGTGGAATCTAAATCTGTAGCTTAGTAGGATTCCCAGACTAGTACATATGCACATAAATGCATCAAAAGCTGTCTGTTCATTCATTAACATCAAGTACTCTCAACTCTATTAACAAGCATAATACTGGTAAGTGCCATTAATTGATAAGAACTAAAAGTATTTTGGCATATTATAAGATAATTGAAGAACAGCTATCTTGTTTTTCAAATTTGTTAGAATTATTTGTCTATATATTCTCAAATCAAGGGCATTTTCCATTTTCAAGTTATTCTTTCATATCAATTTATTATCATGCAGTTCTAGGTTGTTATTAAGTACTGTTGAGTCCATTCTGACTCACAGTGACCTTGTGCAAGGTTTCTGAGAGCAGTTGATGGGTTTCAACTGGCAACCTGGCAGTTACTAGTCTAGTGATTATCCTACAGCACCACACTAGAGCTCAAAGAAAAATATAGTCTCTTAAATTCCGAACACCCCACCAAAAGTAGTGAAAATTTCATCCTAAGAAAATTTATGAAAAATTGGTAGAAACAGCCATCTGAGAGTAGTCAAATTCAATATCAAGGTTCCTAGTGTAGGCCCTGTCTGGGGAAGGCTAATTTGATTTCCAAGTAAGTGCCCGCTCGGAATAGATCTATCAGTGTGAATAGGAGCATCAGCTCAGAAGAAAAAATAAATCAGTGCTTGCTCAATAATGAAAGAGCAGCTGGGAGGCAAAAGCTACTACTAACCCAGAGCTGCCTCAGAAGACAGGTTAGGTGATTTTCTGAAAAGCTGAGAATGCCCTATGGAGAAGTTTTATTCTATGTATGTGGGATTGTCATGTATATAGAGTAAAAAGCCATATAGCCCATGGCTACACACTATATTAACAGTAGGAAGCTCCCCCCAGACAATATTACCTATCCAAATTAGATTTTAAAGTTCAGCCAACATCATACATGTTACCTTATAGTCAATTCTAATATATTGTGCATATTTGCATATGTTTGTGGGATTTTAGATCTTTGGATACTTCTGCTCAGAGGAAGATGTGCTTTCCTCCCAGATGGATGAAGAAAATTTGATTTTCCTTGTTTCTAGAAAACAGCGAGTTGTGATTTCAGGTAATATTTAAAATTTGTGTTCCAAATTAGTATGTGTTTTCATATTTCCAGAAATTAAGTCATGGGAACATAACATTTCTATAGAATTATGGTTCATTTTATTTACTTGTTAAATATTCTATAACTGGGATACCTTCATATCCAACAACAGAAGAAACTATACCTGAAATTGAGACTGAAATGTTATCATTGCTCCAAAAGATAATATATAGAAATCATAAGCAGGAAAAATGTTAAAATCCCAAATAAAGACTCTCTACAATGGTAACTTAACAACAAATGCTCCATTATCACATGGATTCACAGTTCTCTTAAATGGTTCTAAAATTATCAAAATTTCGCTAATCCAGACTTCTCCCACACCCTCAATTATCATGCTGTTGTTGTTAATTGCTGTTGATTTGGTTCTGACTCATAACAACCCTATAAATGAATGAGCAAAACACTGCCCAGTTCTGTGCCATCCTCCAACTTTAGTTATATCTAAGCCCATTGCTATAGCCATTGTGCCAATCCATCTTGTTGAGGGTATACCACTTTTATGCTGACCCTCACTTTACCAAGCATGATGTCCTTCTTCAGAAAACTGTCCCTACTGACATGTTCAAAATATGAGAGACATCACCATCCTTGCTTCTAAGGAGGATTTGGCTATATTTCCTCCAACACAGATATGGTCGTTTTTCTGGCAATCAATAAACAGGTTCCTCATGACCTTGTGGTTCACAATCCAGTGCTTACCCTATGGAGTCATCACACTCATATATATCAAATTGATTCTGACTCATATCAACCCCATATAGGGTTTCCAAGGGTGTAAACCAGGATTTCTCAAGCTGGGGAACTGAAGAAAAAACTCAAGCCTCGACTTTCATTATTGAAGGATTCAGTTACCACTGTCAAATCTGACTTATATAAAACAACATTCACATAGTATTTGAGTTGCTGGTCTCCCTACATTAATTTGTTCCTCACTGTTGGCGTAAAAGATGTGTCATCAGGGCACTCCATGTTTGGTTGTGTGGGTCTATTCTGATAAATCTACTCTAACATGCCAGCTTCTGAAGCCTTTGAATACCTTCCATTACAGAATACCAAGACGGGTTTAGTACTTCAATATGATGTTTTGTAGGTCAATGTGCAATCCATGCTTCAGTGAACCAACCAAATAAACGATTGGATTCTCTCCTAACCTCTGGAGCTAGAACTTTGAATGAAGAATCTGTGCCTAGTGGGCCCATATCAATAAACGCAGACTGATCCAACTTTATGTTCCTTGCACCATTATCCCACACCCTTACTAGCCATGCCCACACATATTCTCCACTGTTTGTACATGTTAGAAAAATCAGGGTGTACTTTTGGAGTATGAAATACCTCTCCTGGGAGCCATAATATGTACTTAACTTTTTGGGGATCACTTGGAACTAAAGTCTAGTTATAGGTCGAAAACAAGTGAGAGAAAATTCAGCAATGTCTTGTAAAGCATCAGCCTAAGGTTATGTCCCCAGACAGTTTCCCAGGTGCTGCCCAGGCCATATCTCAACAATGGCACAGCAGGCAGACCCGAGGTAATCTCATCACATGAGAGGAAGAGGACTGGTTCTGCTAGCAGAAGAGCTTCAATAGAACTTAGGAACTCTATGAACCCCTTGTTGTTATTGTTGTTAAATGTCATCAAGTCAATGTCAATTCATATGACCCTATATAGGGTTTCTGAGGAGCAGCTGGTGGTTTGAACTGCCAACCTTATGGTTTGCAGTCCATTACTTATATCACCCCACCAGGAGTCCACACATACTATGTCCCCTGCTTCCTGATGACCTGCCCACATATCCCTATCCCAGATTTCAGGATCCCATTTCTTCCCAATCAATGCCCTCACTTTGACATCAGAAACTATTTGAATTTTGGGATTCAGTTGATGTTTTGTGTCAGAATCAACAGGACCACAGTGGGTTCGTTGATGTTGTTTGTGTGCTTTGTTTTAATGTAGACCAAGGTCCCTGCGTAGTATAAATGGTTTGCTCTCAGCTATTAACTGAAAGGTTGGTGGTCTGTTCTCAAGCAGCAGTGCTTCAGAAAAAAGGCCTGGTGATCTGCGTTCAGAAAACCAGGAAAAATCCTACAGAGTAATTCTACTTTGTGATACAAGGGATCAAGCCCACAAATATATATAGAAAATTGTTGCAGACCGCAGGTACTGGGATGTTGAGGACCGGTGTCATGGACGAAAATCCAGCACATGACCGCACTCAGACTTGCTAGCCAGAGACCCTAAGGTCCCAACGTCCCGGGTTCATTGGCTTTTACAAACTTACTGTTGGGCTAGCTCTGTATACTTTGCTTTAGTCCTATTAATTCCTTCTATGCTTCGAACTCCAGTAATTGTAGCGTCTGAGAAAATGATTTCTTATGTGCCTCTCTCAATGTCTCCACTGTACTGGCAGTGCTTAAGTTTCTAGGAACAAATCTCTCTGAGGAACAAACTCTAGCCACTGGGCAAGCTCGTCCAAACTGTTCTTTATCAAATTATTCAGTTATGTTCGATATTAACTTAATACATGAGCCCTTGATATCCATGGACCAATATTAACACCTCTTCTAAAGCCGAGGGTGTAAAAAATTCCAAAAACAAGTTTCCCCCAAGGAATTCACCCAAAGTGGATTGGCGAATTCCGGGGTTTTGTCTATAGAATAATAGTTGCCAGCCTTCCCGGATCGCCCCCAGGTGTAAACCATCAAGCTAGGCATCCTTCCTCCTCCTGCAAGCATCGGCCAGACAGCTGACACAGCGGGACTCCTTTCAATCCTTTTCACCTTTTCCCATTCAAGATTAGGTGCTATAGGTATGTTAATTAGCCTGGAGAAACCAAGCTGCTGCCCTGGGATTCGAACTTGAAAAGTACTATAACAATTTGCTTGAATTTCTGGAAAATTAAGGATGTTATATTATCAAGACAATTTGTGATGTATGTTTTAGAATATGTGCCAGTAAATCATGGTGTCCTGTTTTGAACGATTAATCACATTTCACTTCTGTACCCCATCTTAATAAACCCCGCCTTCCTTTGTGTAAAGCTCCTCCCCGAAATAAAACGGAGGCGCAGACCAAAGCCCGCATGTGTTACGGCTTGCAGGGCATGCGTTACTGCCTGCAGGGCTGTGCATTTACTGCCTGCAGGGGCCACGATACCTGTAGTCCAGGGTCTGCCCATCAGTTTCGCATCCACTCTAGTTTCGGGGTGTCTTCTTGTCTCTCTTGTTTTGTGTCTTTGTGTGTATTCTTTCTCTATCTCTGTCGCCGCCAGATCTCCCTACTTGGTGAACCAAACTCTTATGTCGAGGCTGGTTCTCGACAGAAAATATATACCGAAGTATATGTATACACTTACACTGCAAATATATCCATGAATACAGAGTTAGAATCAATTAAATGTCTGCAGTTTCGGTTTTGGTTTACTGAGTCAACCACTGTTCTAAGTGCTGAGGACACAGCAGTGAACAAAACAAGCAAACATTCCTGACCTCAGGGACTTTATATTCTAATGAGAATAGACAGATAAAAAACAAAGTAAATTGTATTTTGTGTCAGATGGTTGTTGTTGTTAAGTGCTACTGAGTCAGTTCCATCTCAGAGTGACCCTGTATAGGGTTTCTGAGGCTTTAGAATCTTCACAGGAGCAGAAAACTTCATCTTTCTCCCATATAGAAGCTGGTGGGCTTGAACTACAAAACTGTAGTTTGCAGTACAGGGTTTATCATATGGAGCCTCTGGTAGCAACCATGCTAAATGGTAGTAAGTGCTATAAAAACAAATAAATTGTCCAGTGTTTTCTTTTTAATGAGTTCCAATAGTAGTATTAGAGTAGCTTCTATTACACTGGAAAGTCTGACATAGTATTAGATTTTGATTCTATGTAAACTTTGATGATGACAATTCAGAAAAAGGATTCCTAGGAGATGCAGTCATCAAAAAATTGAAATAATTCCAAAAGATGTTCAGAAAACTCCTTCTCTTTAACATGTGCATTTGTGTACATATATATATATATGTGTGTCTTACATCTTCTCTGGGAATTTATGCACAGTAGTTGGAAAACTATATATTTAGATTAGTATTTCTGGAAATAATTAAAATGCAAGAGTTACTGGATTTTATGGTTGTATTCCACTGTAATTTTTAAGTAACTCAAGGTTTTCCTGCAATAAGTTGGTTGTTATCTTTTTCTTTTCTAAGCAAAACTAACAAATGAGCTGTAGGGTTTTAATGGTAGAAGTTGATATTAATATTATGCCATTGGCAGGTAGTAGAAGACGGGATGTGATCAAGTGCATTGTCAAGATTCCTCAACTGGATTTACTAATCACAGCATCTCAAAAAGGACTGATAACTCTGTTTAATAGCCAGGTAATTTAAAAACTTGGAGTCCTCTGTTTCCATCCTTCCTCCCTCCTTTTCCTTCTTCATTTTACTTTGTCTCCATTCTTCCTCTACTTCCTTTCTTTTCTTTCTGTCCTTCTCTAATTCCCTTACTCCCTAACTCTCTCCTTTTTTTTTTTTAAGTTTTTATTGTGAATTATGTGACCATTTACATGGGAGAACATTATCTTTACATTCATCCTATCGTATTTTGTTTCATTGCAATGATTACAATGCCCTGCAAGCATCATCAAACAACCAAAGGGTACACCCTGCACACCTACCCTCCAGTCGCCAGCAAACAGCCCCTCTCCTTCCCTGTGTCTAGAGTCCCCAGCCACTCCATCTCTCCACATCATTGTCTCTGCCTCCATCCCTGGTGTCACTGCTTCTCTGGATAGGGTCTTACATGATGGTTTCAGAGACCTCCACCCATGGACTGTAAAATCAATCACTCCCCTTCTTATGTTATAAAACGTCTACCTTTACCTTTCCAACACTCACAGTCAGTCCTGATAGCAATCATTCCCTATTGAACCACAAGAGTCTTATTCCCATCACCTCTTATCAGCCCCATCCAGACAGGTTGGAAACCACTCAGTGGAGATTCTACTTTTCCCTGTACCCTCTGGAATTAGGTTCTCCATTGAAAGCTTGTAAGCCAGTCACTTCTTGCCTTTGTTGCCCCTCCATTTTGGGTAGCCAATGTCTAATTACCTCATCCTTGTTGACCCTGTGTACCCAGGGGATGGGGATGATCCTCACTGTAAAGAGTTGTTTGCTCCTTTGCCCTACTGCATCCACAAGCATAGGTCAAGTTCATCAAATTGTAGTGGATTATGCTTTTTTTGGAGTCCTGGTGTGGCACTATGGGTTAATGAACCAGACTGCAAAGCCGTTTCAACTGCAAGGTCGGCAGTTCAAGTTTATGAGCTGCTCCTTGGAAACCCTAATATACAGGGTTGCTATGGGTCGGAACCGACTCAACGGCACTTCACAACAACAACAACAACATGCTTTTTTCCCCCTCTTCTTTCTTTCTCTAGTCGTGTTCTGATCATCCAGCCATTGAAACCAGGTCAAATGGGTACTATCTGCTAGTATGGATGCGCTTGTGCATCTCCCCTCACTTCATATCAGCTGGATGTTTCACTCTGTATTCTAGTCTTCTGTGTCCATGTTCCTGTCCCTGAGCCCAGGAGTCCCCAGGTCTTCCCATACTGCTGGCCAACCAGGTCTCAATCCAGATTAACAGGAGTCTATTGAATGTGGTGAGATTTAGCTCACAACTTCATTGCTGTTTTTCTGCCACTTGCCCTTATTGGTGACCAACGTAGTCTAGTCAGCAGCAAGACCACATGCATGCTCTTGTATTCATCTTGAGTTTCAGTCTTGGAAGGGGGTTTGCCTTGAGGGGACCTGACCATTTGTCTCGATGGCTCCTGGGGGAACAACTTGCTTGATCTTGTAGTAGTTAATCAGACTGCTGTTGTTGTTTTTAATTTCCTGCTGGTCTTTCTTTCAGTAAGTATCTTCTGCTCTTCTAGGCATTCCAGGCTGGTCTGCTTGACCTTTCAAGTGGACATTTCCCACCTCAGAAGGTTCTGGATGGGGTTCAGGATTCTACCTATGGTCTTAGGCAATGTAAAGACTCCGTAGGAAGCCTCCTTCACTAGGCTAGTTCTAAAACCAGTTTAGGTATTCCAATCAGTTATAGGCAGAAGATGAACTTACAAGATTTCTATGGTGATGTTTCTGGCTATTCCTTTCTCTCCCCTTCAGGTGTCTATTTTACAATAGTAGGCAAGGAAAACCAAGATTCAAAAGACAGCCAAGCATCTTAACATGATTTCACCTCTTTTACCCATTCAAACCATGTGTCAATCTTTGTATCCCAGAGACCTGTTGTTCCAAGGTTCTGTTTATATAGTTATTTACCTCTGTCCTATTTAGCCCTTGTAAACCTGCCTAACTGTTCTCCCATCCTCCTTGTTCTTCCATTCCCCTTCCCCTTCCAGTGTATGAGTGCCCCAGCACCCAAACTATCCTGTGTCTGCTCCCTACCCTGTGCTCCACTAGCCTGTGTCTATTCCCTACCCTCTGCTTCACCTTCCCCTCTCTCCTCTCATGCCACCCCATACACCCCGGTAACCAGAAAATATCCTCCCCCCCTTTTAGTGTGGATACTTTTTAAAATCTCTTACAGTAATGGTCCTATGCAGTATTTCTTCTTTTGTGACTGACTGATTTCACTCAGCATAATGTCCTCAAGGTTCATCCATGTTATGCAGTGGCTTACAGCTTCCTTGTCATTCTTCAAGGTAGCATAATATTCCATTGTGTATATGTACCAAAGTTTGTTCATTCTTCCATTCATGGGCACTTAGACTATTTCCATCTTTTTGCTATTGTAAATAGTGCTGCTATTAACATTGTGTCATGGCTCGTATTTCTTGTGGGTAAATACCAAGTAGAGGAATTGCTGGATCATAAGGTATTTCTATTTCCAACCTCCTGAGGAAGGACCATATTGCTTTCCAGAGGGGTTGGACCATTTTGCAATCCCACTGGCAATGCAGGAGTGTCCCAGTGTCTCCATTCCTCACCAGCATTTATTAGCCTCTACATTTTTTAATCTTTGTTGTTATTGCTATTGTGAGATGATATCTCATTGTTGTTTTGATTTGCATCTCTCTAATGGCTAGTGCAAAGCCATTTGAACTGTGAGGTCACCAGTTCAAACTCACTAGTAGCTCCTCGGAAACCCTATACAGGGTCGCTATGGGTCAGAACCGACTTGACGGTACTTCACAACAACAACAATGACTAGTGATCGTGAACATTTCTTTATATGTTTGTTGGCTGCCCAGATCTACTCCTTGGTGAAATGTCTGTTCATGCCCTGTGCCCATTTTTTAATTGGGTTATTTGTCTTTTTCTTGTAGAGGTGTTGTAGTTTCCTATATATTTTAGAAATGAGTCCCTTGTCTGATGTGTCATTGCAAAAGATTTTTTCCCATTCTGTGGGTTCTCTTTTTGCTCTTCTGGTGATTGTCTTGTGATGCACAGTTTTTAATTTTTAGTATGTTACAGTCATCTATTTTGTCTAGTTTGTGCAGTTTTCAAAATGTTTGGTAGTCTGTGTATTCCCTGACTTAGTGCCCGCCCATTTGTCCCTATTTTTTCATGGATGACCTTCATAATTCTGGGATTCACATTTATATCTTTAATCCTTGCTGACTTGGTTTTTGTATAAGGCGTGAGGTGAAGGTCTTGTTTCAGTCTTTTGCATATCGCTTTCCAGTTCTGCCTGCACCATCTGTTGAAGAGACTATCACCTCCCCATGTGATATATTTAGGTACTTTGTCAAAAATTAGTTGGCAGTATGTGGATGGGTTAATTTCTGGATTCTCGATTTTGTTCCATTGATCAATGTATCTTTCATTGTACCAGTAACAAGCTGTTTTGACCACTGTAGCTGTGTTATAAATTTTGAAGCCGAGGAGTGAGACGTTTCCAACCTTATTCTTCTTCTTAAGCAGGGCTTTGTTTATCCTATGTTTCTTTCCTTTCCATATAAAGTTTATAATTGTTTTTTCCATCTCTTTGAAGAATGTCATTGGAATCTGGATTGGGATTGCATTATATGTGTAAATTACTTTGGGCAGTATTGACATTTTCACAATGTTAAGTCTTCCTATCCAGGAGCATGGTATATTCTTCCAATTTTGTAGGTGTCTTTTGGCTTCTTGTGGTAGTGTTTTGTAGTTTCCTTTGTATTATAAGTAAGTCTTTGTTTCTCTAGTTACATTTATTCCTAGAGATTTCATCCTTTAGGCAACTATTGTAGATGGTATTGCTTTCCTAATGTCCTTTTCAGCGCTGCCATTTTTGGTATACAGGAATCCAACTGATTTTTGTATGTTGATCTTATATCCTACCACTTTGCTGAATCTTCCAATGAGGTCTAGTAGCTTTATTACTGACTCTTTGGGGTTTTCTACATATAGGATCATATCATCTGCCCATGTGGTTGCTAATGAGTGTTATTTGTGTCTTCTCCCTCTTTTGTTAGGTTTGCCAATGGTCTGTCAATTGTGTTAATCCTTTCAAAGAACCAGCTTCTTGTCCTGTTGATTCTTTCTATAGTTTTTCTGTTTTCTATCTTATTTATTTATACCCTAATCTTTATTATTTCTTTTCTTTTGGTGGCTATAGGTTCCCTCTGCTGGTCTGTTTCTAATTGTTGTAGATGCTGTGTTAATGTATTACTTTTGGTTCTTTCTTCTTTTTGTACGTATGCATTTATTGCAATAAATTGTCTTCTCAGCACCACTTTCGCCGTGTCCCAAAGGTGTTGGTATGTTGTGTTTACGTTCTCTTTGTTTCTAGGAACTTTATGAATTCATGTTTAATTTCTTCTACTACCCAGTGGCTTTTCAGCAAGATGTTATTCAGTTTCCATGTATTTGACTTTATTTCCTTTGTCTTCCTATTATTTCTAATTTGATAGCATTTTGGTCTGAGAATTACATTTGTAAATTTATGGATATATGTTTTGTGGTCTAAGACATGGTCTATTCTGGAGAATGTTCCATCTGCACTGGAAAAGAATGTGTTGTTGTGCTGTCACTGGGTTGAATGTTCTGTACACATCTATGAGGTCCAGTTGGCTGATTGTGTTATTTAGTTCTTCTGTGTCTTTGTCAATTTCTTTCTGGTTGTTCTATCCATTTTGAAAGTGGTGTATTAAAATCACCCACTATTATTGTAGATTCAGCTTTCTTTCTTCAAATCTACTAGAGTTTGCTTTACATATTTTGGAGCTCTTTCATTGGGAGCATAGATATTATGGTTATGTCATATTGTTCAATTGTCCCTTTAATCATGAGATAATGTCCGTCTTTATCTATTATGCTGGTTTTGCCTTAAAGTTTATTTTATCAGAGATTAGTACTGCCACGCCTGTTAGTTTTTTATTGCAATT